CCCCTGGGTAGAGTGCCATGGCATCACGCTCACAGCAACCTCCAACTCCTGGGCTCAAGCGAGTCTCCTGCCTCAGCCTCCCAAGTAACTGGGACTACAGACGCCCGCCACAACGCCTGGCCATTTTTTGGTTGCAGCCATCATTGTTCTTTGGCAGCCCCGGCTGGGGATTTGATTGAGCACAGGCGCCGAGCCCGTTCTAGTTTTTTAAATTTTGTGTTTAAGTAGATACCTAATTTTGAGTTTAAGTAGATACCAAGTTATTTAATCTCTATTTTTGGGTGGTTTTCCTCTGTAAAAGAAAGTGGTTACCTTTAGGGATTTGACTGTTATTCTAAGACATTGAACTTTGAGTAGGGAGAGTTACATAAGTATTTATGTGCTTTGGAAAGATAACTAGAGTGGCTGCAAAAAAATTTGGAGAGGGGGGTGTTAAAGGCAGGATGACCAGTTAGAAACCTATTAGTGTAGTTGAAAGTTACTGAGAGACCTAAAGAGGACATTACAGTAGGAGTAGCTTTTGGGCACTTAGAGCCACTGAGATTATTTAAATATGGAGAAAGGAGTTTGTTAACCAGCTGAGTGGGAGGAAGATTGGTCTATAATTGAAATACATAATACAGGAAGAAGAACAGGTTTGGTGGAAGAGATGATAATCTGGATCTTGGACGTTGTTAGGGTAGAGATGCTGTTGGATATACTATGTACATGTGAAGCTACCTAGCAAGCACGTGAAGTGAAGGTTTGGAGTTTGGAAGAGAGGTCAGGACTAAAGACTAAACTTCGTCATTCGTTCACTATACAGATATTCATTTAGTGCCTAACAGATGCTTACAGGGAAGCTGGTTAGTCCTCTTAAGTTCATAGTAAAGACAAACTTAGGAATGAGAAGTGACTGCTGATGGGTACAAGGTTTCTTTTGGGTTTGATGAAAATATTGTAAAATTGATGGTAGTTATGATTGTACAACTCTGAATATAGATAACATATAAAGACATTTTAATTGAACTCTTTAAATGGGTGAATGTTGGTATATGAATCATATCTCAGTGAAACTACTATTTAAAAAAAAGATTGCATTGCAGTTTTTGAAGCCTAGTAAGTGGAAAATGGATTTGGAAATAGGAACAAATATAATTGTGTGTTTGCCTTACACTTCCTGCTGTTATACATAACAATTTACTCTGTTAGGGCTGAGAGCTACACAGTACAGGTGATGAGGTACTGAGTGTGCTAGCCCAGATTCTTTTGAGTTCAACCTGTTTATCCTAGTGCATTTACTAGTCCCTATTTTGTTCATATAGTACACATACAAACCATAACTTGGGCACCAAAATTGTATGGCAGTACACAGTCATATGGATACCCAGTACTTCCAGAAAATGCTTGTGCTAATTTTTATAATTATTGAAATGAAAACAAAGCGGCAAAGAGCAGTGGCTCATGCCTGTAATCCTAGCACTCTGGGAAGCTGAGGTGGTGGATTGCTTGAGCTCAGGAGTTCAAGACCAGCCTGAAAAAGAGAGAGACCCCTTCTCTACTAAAAATAGAAATACTAGCTGGGTGTCGTGGCAGGTGCCTATAGTTCCGGCTACTTGGGAGATAGGCAGGAGGATTACATGAGTCCAGAAGTTTGAGGTTGCTGTGAGCTAGGCTGATGCCATGGTGCT